GTCTACATTTCTGCTTGGTACAAAAAAGATCTAACACAATTATCACACTAGGGGCAAAGCCTCTTTAGAGGCAGTGGACAGGCAAAATGGACACTTCTCATTGTCAGATTTGGCGGAGTTAGGTAGTAAACCCCCCACGCACACCATAGCGCAAATCCCACCTGTCAATTGATGCACTAATTCTTGAAAAATGCGCTTCGAAATTCCACCAGCCCCACCCACTTCCATTGAGTGGGCGTCATTGGTGGGGTTCTGAAGCATCTTTCAAGACTAGGGCAAGAACTGACTTAGAGGGTCTACTATCTAAATCCACAAATCCGAGAAGGGCCCATCTTGCTCGTCCACTGCCTTTAACGAAGAGTAAAACTCCTCATCCGGTTGTCTCAAAGATAGCGTCACAACTCTGCCATCCAGGGCCATCGCGACCGCCTCGTGGCCTTGAGTCGTATTCGTGAATGTTCTCAACAATTTTTCCAGCCCTATGCGGGGAAAATGCCTATATTGACGAACGCGCCGCAAAGTCGGGGCGTGGCGACCGCGAGGCCCAGAGTCTCTAGGGCTGTGACACTGCAGACAGACTGAGCAAAATGGTAATACTATGTGAACTTCGACTCACCTTAGCCAATCTTCTCTGCTCTTCCATTTGTTTCTTTTCAATTTTCGCCAATGTACTAGCCATTATCTCCTCTCTTGAAACTGGATTTGTACAAAGGAGACTGACTTGAGGAACAGGCTTGGTAGACTTTGGCAGTTCTGCTGGTTGGAGGTAATAACCTCTTTCTGCAAAAAAAGAGAACTTATTTAGCCTTTTACGTATGCAAAGTACCGCTTACCGATTATGGAAAATCGCTCGTTTAAAGTAACGCGACGATTGCAGTAATTGCTAGCTCGTTCAGGAAGTTTTACAAAATTCTTCTGGATGACGGCACGACCTTGGATGGGTTCGATAGTATAGGAAATAGACGTCATCGTTACTACAACTTTCCTGAAACTTACTGACTTATAGAGAAATCTAGGGAGTAAAAAATTGAAGTTTCTTCTATCGGATGTCATCAAATGACGAGAATGAAGCAGAAATTCTCTAGCGATCGAAATGTTGATATTGACGCACGCTTAGCGTCAGAGAATGTTCAACAATCTTTTAGATTCAACTAGTTATGAAGCAAAGACTTCGTGCATGACTTTTGAGGAATAGAATAGAATAGAAGAAAGAAGGCCGTTATGTAAAGAAAGGGAGAGAAGAGATGGGCTTTCTGTAGAAATAAGATAATCTATATATATAAAACTCAAAGTTTGTTTGTTTTTT